GCTTCAACTGCTTTAGAATGCAGCAGTACAAGTTTAAATGGCACTGGTTACTCGGTGCCAGGGTGGATAAAAATCAATGATTTTTTTTAAAAAATCAAAAAAATCAGATTTTTTTTATTTAAATCGGATTTTTTTAAATAAAATGCTTTTTGAGGAAAATATATTACCATCCAAAGGTTATTCCATCATGAAATAAAGATTAGTTTTTTAATTATGTAGAATAAGGCTGTATATGTTTAAATTTTTTGGTAAATAAATTCCATTAATCCATTCACAATGTCATGCTCTTCCAGAGGTTTTTGTAACATTATTGGGCAGTTTCTCTGCCTACAAGATATTATCACAGATGCTTGGTTTACTTTTGCAGTTCTCAAAACTGAATTTGACTCAGCAGAGATCACATGCCTCTACTTCACAGCAAAAATGTTATAACATGAACAGAGTTGACAAAAAGACCTTAATCCTATTGTTCTACAAACTATGAATACAGAATCAACCCCTTCAGTGCTAAGTTTCAAGAAGTTCAGTGAATAGAATAGAAACAATATTTTTCTGATTGTTTGGAGTGGAATAGATCTGCACAAGAAGAAAGTGAAACTAATGTGAGGAGGAAGGGGCAAGCAGACAAGCAGTACAAAATGAAAGTGAAACTTTCTGAGCACAATACTGCACCGCCACAGACAGACAAGTCTTTGGATCTTTTTGTGTGTATGACCTGAGGTTTATCACATTCTTTCCTTGGAGGAAAAAACCTATAATGGCAGCAGGCCGTAAAAGAGACCCAGTTTGGCAATATTTTAATGAAGTTCCTTTACCTATCGGTAAGGCAGGCATGCGTGCAAACTGCAAACATCGCAACAAAGAAATGCAAGGCCTGGTGGCCCGAATGAGGCAACATCATGAGAAGTGCTATGATGAAGATGACCAAAGAAACACATTTGAACAGGCAGGATCTTCAGGTTGGTAAACATTTTTATTGAATCATATTTCTAAAGACTGCCTTGAACTGTCATGTTTGAGCAAAATTATATTTCTTATTATTACTGCATGTTACTGTCATTTGGTACAGTTATGAAGAAAAGCAAATATTCCTTTTGGGGCAGTGCTGTGTACAATAAGTAGAAATTGTATAAACAATAAAATAACAGCATTGACTTTTTTGTTTAGGGGAATTCATGGATTTTGGAAACTATCCACCTTCAAGATTACCATCCTCCTGTTCTACAGTTTCAGAGTTACCCATCCAGGATAGTGCTTCATTAGCATCATCATCATCAGACACCCACAGCCACATATCACTATCACCTAAAAGAAAGAAAAAACCCTTCCCTCCTGGAACCACCATAGATAAGTTTGTGATAAAAACTAGCAGATTAGAAAAAGAGTTAATTGATGAAAAAATTGCCCAGTTTGTTTATGCAACGAACTCTTCTTTCCGTCTGACTGAGAACCCAGATTTCATTAATATGATTCAGTCACTGAGACCAGGATACAGTCCACCCAGCAGAGCAGATGTTGCAGGGAAACTGCTGGATAAAGTGTATGACAGAGAAATGGAGCAATGTGCAACAGCTCTGGAGGGTAGAATTGTTAACCTAAGTATTGATGGGTGGAGTAATGTCCACAATTACTGTCAGTAATGTCAGCACTCCAAGCTGCATTCACTCCAGTGCTGACATAAGAAGGAGAAGGTGGGGGCATCTGGCAAGAGGACGCTTGACTTTTCACCTACTTATTTTCCCTGGAGATACTATCCCCTAGGAGATGGGTTGGGAGGGGGGAAATTCCTTTGAGCTGAAGTAGTAGATAACAGCAGAGTGACTTGGAAGATAGCCAATGAGAAGCAGAGCAGTGGGGAAAGGAAAGGGAGGGTTTGGACCAGGAAGTCAGTGTTGGCTGCAACTGAGTCGGAGATTCGATTGTTGTGCCTAATAAATGAAAGATTTTGATCAAGGACTATTTGTTTGAAATGCAGTTTATTTGAGACGACACCGAATCCTGACAGATCCTATTGTATGTGCTTGTATAACAACAGAAGAAGGGAAAGTCTTCCTTGCACAAACAATTGATATGTCAGGAAATGCACACACAGCAGAATACTTACAAGAAGTGGCAGTAAAAGCTATAATAACATGTGAACAAAAATTCAAATGTCTAGTACGCAGTTTGGTCACAGACAATGCTGCAAATGTATCCAAGATGAGAAGAAATTTAGAAGAGCAGGAAGGGAATACAAAGCTAATAACATATGGTTGCAGTGCTCATTTGCTGCACCTCTTAACCAAAGACTTAAGTGTTCCAGAAATAAAGACTAATGTTGTTGAAATTGCTAAATACTTCCGTAACAATCATTTTGCTGCAGCAGCTCTGAAAAGGATGGGTGGAACCAAGCTAACGCTCCCACAAGATGTTAGATGGAACTCTGTGGTGGACTGTTTTGAGCAGTATATCAAGAACTGGCCTATTCTGATGACAGTTTGTGAAGAAAGTCGAGATAAAATAGATGGCACTGTCCAAGCCAAAATCCTCAACATTGGGCTTAAGAGAAATGTTGAACATATGCTGAGCATCCTGAAACCCATCTCTGAAGCTTTAAACAAAATACAGAAAAATAGCTGTTTTATTGCTGATGCTGTTGAAATTTGGAAGGAACTGAGTGAACACTTAAAAACAGAACTACACATGGACAGAATTAAATTACAAGCATTAAAAAAATGAATGGGACAAGTACTGTCTCCAGCTCATTTTTTGGCAAATATTGTCAATATCCAGTATCAGGGTCAAAACTTAAGTGCTGAGGAAGAGGAGTTAGCTATGACATGGGTATCCAGCAATTATCCATCTGTAATGCCAACTATAATAAACTTCAAAGCTAAGGGGGAACCATTCAAGAAATATATGTTTGCTGAAGATATTTTAAAGAAAGTCACACCAGTGAACTGGTGGAAGTTGCTTAACGCATTGTAAGCCGCCCTGAGTCTCCGGAGAAGGGCGGCATATAAATCAAATTAAGAAAAAAAAAAAAGTTACTTAAGCACTTGGATTTAGAGACTGTTCAAGTAATGATTTCACTTTTAACAGCAGTAGCTTCTTCTGCAGGCGTTGAAAGAATATTCTCTTCCTTTGGACTCATTCATTCTAAATTGAGAAATCGTTTGGGACCCGATAAAGCAGGAAAGCTTGTTTTTCTTTTCCAGATTATGAACAAAGAAGAAGATGAAGATGACGAGTGAGCTACAGAGGACAGTATTTAAGTTTTTCATGTGTAGGCTGGGCTGACAGTCTAAGTTTCTTAAAATATATATATTTTGTTTAGCCAAATTAGTTAACAAACATGGATGTTTGTTTAAGCAAATAACATATGCTGTAATATTATTGTTTCAGTTGAATAAATCTATTTAAATTGTTATTATTAAGGTAATGATTATTTTTCTCCTTCCTAAGTACAACAGAAAAGTTGTCCAAATATGAATGATTAACCTATTAAACGGGGGATAAAAAAAACTAATATGAAAAGTTGTTATTCTAAAAATCTTCATCTACTTGCATATTAAAGTTATACCAGCAAGAATTAGTCTTTATGTAGAAAACTATTATTTAAATCAAGCCTTACTGACTAGTGATGTAAATCGTGATTTAAATCAGTTTGATTTAAATCAAATCCACCCTGCTCGGTGCATTCTAAACCTCTATTTTGTATGCTGGATTGCTTACCAGTGTACTTCTGAATGCAATTCAAGGTAATGGTTTAAAGCTCTTCATGACTTAGGACTGGGTTACTTGAGGGACCATCCTTGGCAGGATGGACACGCTTCAGATTCCATCAGCTAAGGATGCTGGTTGGTGGGGCTCTGAAGGTGTGTCTTTTCTCCTATAGTGCCCTCCCCCCCCGCCCCAACATTCTTCCTCTGGATATTAGGATGGTCTCAACTTTACTGGTCTTTTGTAAGGCTCAGTAGATCTGTTTCTCAGGCATGGGTACATGAAAGGATCCATCTCCTGGATATATTAGTTTTCGTTGCCTATGTAATTTCCTTGGTTGCTATGGATTTTAGTTTTTGTATTTATTATTACTGGATACTTATTTTTCTAGAAAATTTTTGCCTAGAAAATATGTACTATAAAATATTTCTCTGATCAAGAGCAATTGTTAGTGACTTCACAAACATACTCATTTAGTTTTTATGGCAACAATACAGATTTGCCACTGAACTCTTTTGTACTTTTTAAAAACTTATACTTGAATACTGCCTTGAAATTTCCTAATGTTCTCCCATTCAGGTACAGTTATTATGGAGTCAATTTGTTCCCAGCTTTTCAAGTTCAGCCAACTTTAGCTAAGAGCTGCTACCTAATTTGAAAAAAATAGATGTATTATATTGTTCTGATTTAATTAGGATATCCTTGATTCCTTTTCTTTTATGAATAATAGTAATTATTTTCACTCCTAAGCACTACTAGATATTGACAATGCATTGTATGCAGTCATATATGTCTGCTTGGAATGTCAGTTGTTATATACCTCTATGCTTAGAAATAGAGGCTAATTGAGTTAATTGAAGCTTCCTTGGAATAGATTTCCAAGCATGGGAATATGCTCTATTAACACAAAAAGACTTATAGCAGGACTGAAAAGAAAAGCAATGGTAAATATACCATATTATTCTAGGCGTTGGTTGCTCATATTAGTCAGAAATGTGTACTTACGGAGGATTGGACAGATAGAAATAGCAGATCTGTAGACTTTACTTTCTCTACATTCTAATCACTATTTCATTGTACCACTGAAAGTCAGGTAAGCTAGAATGACATAATGTTTTGGCATTATTTAGAAAATACTGTCTAGCAAGACAAGAGAGCAGCGAAAATAGCAACTCTAAATATATCCACACGTTGATGTTGTATAGGTTTATTTATTCAAATATTAGTTTGTAAAAATAAGGTAAAAAATTACTATACTAATGCTACTTAATTGAAATTTCTTATATATGTACAAACAGGAAACCTCGACCTGTCTCTCAGCTGGTTGCACAACAGGTTACCCAGCAATTTGTGTCCCCTACACAATCAAAAAAAGAAAAAAAAGACAAAGTAGAAAAAGAAAAAAGTGAAAAAGAAACTACTACCAAAAAGAACAGTCATAAGAAAACCAGGTAAAATTTATGCTGTTTGGGGTTGTTCAAAATAGATAAATAAATATTAAATTGTCATCTTCTTGTAAAAATTCTTAGAAAATGGTAATAAAAGCCAAATATGTAGATCAAACACAGAAAATAAATAAAATGTGTGAAATCAAAAAGGAGATCTATAAACTTTCCGGTATTGTCTGTCACTCGTTTTTAAATTGTGTATGTTACACAGGGACACTGCAGGATATTTTGTATTTTCAAGGAAAACATACAATACTCAAGATCTATCAAATACTGCAGAAACTATTACGTAGAGATAGGTCAGGGTTCTGGTCTAGAGGTATCAGGAAAACTACTGAGGCACTAAGTGCTCCGTGAACCAAAAATCTGGAAACCTATGAACTATACTAAATAAAACTATATTTATAGCTATCTGAAACTCAACTCAGTATATATATTTATATGTGTAAATATTGGGCCTTCCTAGTTTATGATGGTATATGTTTAGTTAGGATATTCCACAGTAATTAAAAAAAACATTTGATGAGTCTCTCATCCCCTATCTCGTGGCTTCACAAAGTGAACTAAGTCATGAACCAAGGTGAATAAGCCATACCACAATAAGCATATAAATTTCATTACAAGGCATTATATAACCTCATTCCCAGTTTGTTTCAGATTACACTTTTGCTACCAAATGTGGTGCATAAGTAACATAAATTATGTTTCAGAAGCTTTGACCCAGGTTCTCCATTTTCCAAATACACTTTAAAATACTCTTAAATTTTTGCTACTTGAATAACTGGATTTGCCTCATGCCATCCCATTCAGACTCTTAGTAGCTTCAATAATATAGGCATGAGACTGTGTCCATCATTAAATAAAATTTTGGGGGATGAATTAAGGAAATTATTTTAAAAAGGTAAATATGTCTTTGGTAAAGATAATTTAATTTTTATTAGATTTAATATGTTTGGTTGATTGCCATTATTATTTCAGAAGATTTTCTTGTAAATAAGCTTTCAGTATTTCCAGTCTCCTAGTTTTCTCTAAACCCCATTTAATAGCATGCAATAAAAAACTTTTTTCCTTTTTTCTCCTAATGTAAAATTCAGAAGCATTAACTGAAACAAAATACTTTTTTAGGGAATGCAAAAGTATAGAATTTGTTGCTGCAAAATTACTAGAGAAATTGGATACATTTATAAAGGATACCTGTATCAGTGATTATACAATGAGCCAGTTTAGATATAACATTGGTATTAAGATAAATATGTACAATAACTGCTCACCCTTATGTTATGCCCATTATTTTTCTTTTTTCAATGCTCATGTACTTTGTGCTGTAACTATGTTTAATACATTTAAAAATCAAATCAGCAAGCTGCAGTTTTCAAGTTTGGAATACACAAATGAACATACGACATCATATTGCAGATTCAAATAAATTTCTGAAGTCGATACCTCATAGCGTTTTTGTTTGGCTAAAATAAAAACTGATTAATTAATCCACAGTTTTCTTTAGCACAATGAAAAAGGCAAAGAGTGCCAAATCAAAATAGTGAACAACAATGAGGACATGAACCTCTCTGCTAACTTACATTAATAAATTACATTATACTGAGCAATATTTTTTCATGGAATTTACAAACTTAAGATAATGTACCTGACTTAACATTGGTTTTGTGAACAATAGCACTAGAAATTCATGTCTTATCATGCTTTGTAATTGGATATTTGCTGTATGTTATCAGTTTTTACATGATCTCAAATGTGATGCTGACCAGATGTTTTAGACCAAGTTTCCCTTAATTCCATCTAACAGAAATTTCCACAATGGGAATGAAAATTTGTTGATAACTTCTTGAAGAGTGGATTGACCGCTACATTTTTCAGTATAGACAGAACCATTCAATCAAGGATTACAGATAGTGTCCACTTAAACCACATTTGGGCCTGGAATCTCAGTCATTGAGCAAAGTAGTTGTTAAGTGAGATACTATATAACTGTTTCAGTCAACAACTACGATCCCAGCTCTTCTGGTTGTGCTCATAAAGCAGGGAATTGATCATTAGTTGAAACACTGAACAGAGCCATGGGTCTCCCAGGCTTGGTGGGTTGGGGAGAGGCCATTAACTCCCACACCACCCAGGAGGCTTAGTCCCTTTCCTCATACCATCAGAGAGAATGATTGTGAGAATGATGATACTCACTAGTGTTTTCCCCAAATTTGGGGTTTATTTCTCCAGCAAACCAAGGAATGTCCTCAGTGCACTGGAGGTACGGGCCTCAAAACTGGTGAAAACACTAGTAAACACCATTGTTCTGGGAGGCTCAACTCTGGAATAGAGTAATGTTTTTATAGCAGTGGTTTGCTCTCCAAGCTTGTTTCAATTTAGTTTCTGACTTGTTTTTATGTTGTGGTTGGCTGTGTATTTTGATGAGGTTTGGATGACAAGGATCGTGTTATGAAATTTTTTTGGATAGCCACTTCAGAGGAAAACATTGGAAAGATGTTTCTCTTCTGCTTTTCTTAATGACTCGGTGCTGCAGTGTGTTTTGGCTCTTTTGAAGAGTCCGGATACAGCTCTGCTTGTATGCAGCGGGGCGGCTGCTTGTAAAATTTAGAATTTGGTCTGGATGCGTGGATTTTCAATATACACAGGTGGTTAATTTGCAGTTATCTTGTCTCCTTATGTCAATATTTAGGAAGGGGAGTCGTTGTTCTTTTTCTTCCTCATGTGTAAACCTGAAGTGAATATGTTGTTGAGTAGATGGTGTGTCTCTTCTAGTCTGTTGCGTTTGATGATGGCAAAAGTGTTGTCCTTATAACATATCCAAAGGTTTGGCTGGATGATTGGCAGGACTGTGCGCTCAAATTTCTGCATTACTGCTTCTGCTATTAGGCTGGATATAGGTGATCCCATAGGCGTCCCTTGTATTTGTTGATAGATTTTGCCATTGAATTTGAAGTGTGTTATGAGGCATAACTCCAGATGTTTCATGGTAGTGTCGGTGACATGGAGTGTTCTTTAGGTGTCTTTTCATTATGGCTTTGATTTTCTGTGAGTAGATCATAGATAGTTTGTTTGGCCAGGTCAATGTTAATAGATGTGAATAATGCAGTTGTCAAATGAGACCATTATTTCTTTTTCATTTATTTTGATGTTTTTAATTAATTGAAGGAATTGCTCAGGTGAGTTTATAGAATAAGCCAAATTGTTAATGAGAGGGTGAAGTCTTTTTCTTAAAGCTTTTGCTAGGTTGTAGGTTGGTGCTCCAGATAGTGCCACTATGGGGCGGAGAGGAATTTCATTTTTGTGTATTTTGGGAAGTCAGTAGAATTTGGGTATACTGGAGTCTTGTGGTAGTTTTATTTCTGTTGAAGTTAGTTGTTGAGAATAGAGAATTTTTCAACATATGTAAGATTGTTTCCAAGTACTAGCTGAAGAAAGCCATTCCTGTTGTTCCATACTTCTACTGTTTAAATATATTTCAGTCAGATACCAGAACCGTGTTCCCTATATTATAAATATGACATTTCATCAAGCCAATAGGTTATATTGTGGCCCGCCGGCGGCCAGCAGAGTCAGACAGTGAGGAAGTTGGGGAGGAACTTGGGCCAGTCCTGGGGGCTGGGGAAAGCTCGGACGAGGGCTCTGCATCACAGGCAGAGAGGGGGCCAAGGCCATCTGATAGTTATGTGCTGCCTCTGGAGCCTCCGGAGTCTGACAGTGGGAGCCTGTTCCCAATGTGCGCATGCACAAAGCTGCCAGAAGACAAAAAAAATTAAGAAAAGAGGGTCAACTTGGGAGTAAGGCTTGGAGTTGATTGGCCCCTCCCATAAGACATAAAAGAGGAGCAAACAGGGACGTGAGCTTTTGCAGGAAGCAATTAGTTCATCTTGTCAGTTCAAGCTTTGAAAAGTTCTGTTTGACTCTGTGCCAAGTTTGGCCTTGCCCTGGGTTTGGCAATTAGTTCTCTGGCAGCATTCCAAGGGAGATAAGGTGGGTGTTTATAAACATTCCCCTGAAAGACTGTTTGTGAAGCCTTGCAGACTGTAAATGACAATAATTCACAGCCATATAAATAAAAGAGGTTTTGCTGGGACTAAAATTGTGCTTTATACTTTGTAAGGAAGCCTAGGTCAGAACAGGTTATAGGATAGACTTGCAATCAACAAGAGAACCAATCAGCTGCTCAGAATTTGAATATAGCTCCAAACGAACAACCAATCAAATGACCAATTGACCACACTGGCACACAAGCCATTTATAAGCTAGAGAGAATAGGACATGAAAATCCTGGTGATGATGTTACCCAGTCTGGTAATGAAACATTCCGAAACTAAATTGAAACAAGCTTGGAGAGCAAAACCGCTTCCAAAATCTAAAACCCAAGCTACAAGTATTTTCTATTATTTCACAGTAATGTTTTCTCCAGAGGAGCGTAAAACCTGGCATTCACTAGTGTTTTCTTTTCCAGAGTGGAAAGTGCTACCAAACATCAGCATTCTGAAAGGGTCAGAACCCTGGTGCTACCATTTTTGCCAGGTTTGAATTCTGTTACCCCAGTATGCCAAGAGATTTCCTCTCCCCTCCACGCAAGGAGAGAAAATTCTCTTGCCCCGCAAGAACAGATCTCAAATCTGATTAAAATACTAGTGAATGACAGCATTCTGAGCCATTTTCCCCCTTGGAAGAGTGGAAATTCCAGCATTTGCTAGTGTTTTCCCCTCCTGAGGGACTGAAATAGATATTCAGTACTGTTTTTGCCAGATTTGAGTTCCTTTTCTCCAGCATATGGGAGGATTTCCCCTCCTTGGAAAGGAAATCCCTCAGTGGGATCAAGATCAGTATGTTGTTTTATAATGGCTGGAAGTGCTTTATGGGCTGTAAAGCTCCTATTCCAAGGTTGCCATGACTGTGAACTGTCAGTTAAATGACAGGTTGTAAATTGAGTATTACCGTATTTTTTGCACTATAAGACGCACCAGACCATAATATTAGCTTTACAGGAGGAAAACAAGGAAAAAAAATCTGCCTCTGCCTCCCAGCATTTTTCTGGCTAGCGTCCTTGCAGCAAACAGCTTTGTCAGCTTCAGCACGTTATCACAGCCCCAGCACGTGGCTCATCAGGGTTCCGCTCCATTGCGCCCACCACCAATTAACTGAGCTGAACTGCTGCCGCTGCCGGGAAACACTGGAGCCTTCACTGCCAAGCAGCTGATTGGCGGTTGGATCGGCCTCCCGGAATACTGCCAATCAGCTGTTCTAGGAGGTGGGATTTGCCACCGCTTATCACCACCACCGCCATTTGGCAGCAGCGATCAGTGGCGAATGGCAGTGATCCCCGCCGCCAAGAACAGCTTATCAGTGGTATTCTGGGAGCCAATCCAACCGCCAATCAGCTGCTCAGCAGCAAAGGCTCCAGCGTTCCCCGGTGACAGCAACAGGTGGTGGTGACAGGTGATGGCGAATGCCACCGCCGCACCAACTCCCCTCCTCCCCGCCGCAATATTCTCTCCATAAGACACAGACATTTCCACCCACTTTTTTGGGGGGAGAAAAGTGCATCTTATAGCACAAAAAGTACAGTACCTATAATTTACCTCTGCTTGGACCCAACCACATCATCTCCCAGGAGGGACATAGATCTAATATACTGATTGCTGTCTTGTGCCTTTCTACTTGCTCATGACCAACAGGCTCAAACTCCTACCTAGTAACCAAATTGGATCATGCTTCTGTCAGCTTCACAGGGACTGCTCATCCAGAGTTCAGAACAAAACAGATCTGAACTACTTTATCTGTGAAATGCTTCAAATATTCCTCATAGTAGTTTTGCATATGTTCCTCTTGCCTCTCCTTTCCTAGTGAAATTGCGTTCATTAGTATTGGTTAGCAGGATGGTTAAGGCACCATGTTAGAAACCAGGAGACTGTGAGTTCTAATCGGTAGTGGGATTCAACCGGTTCACACACATTTGGCTGAACCGGTTGTTAAATTGCTGGTTGGCCCCACCCCACCCCTTCCAGAAGTCCCCACGGGCCCGGTTTTTGCTCCCAGGACACTGCAGGGAGGCCTGCTAGGTCCAATATGGGATGTGGGAGAGGTGCGCCCCCCTCCCCACAGCCCATTTATGCTCCTAGGAGGCTGCAGGGAGGCCTACTAGGCCCAAAACAGGGCACGGGAGGGCAGCGTGCCCCTCCATGGCCCATTTTTGCTCCCAGGGGGGTGCAGCAGGCCAAGTGCTGCCTGTCACACCCCCAGCCACACCCACCATGGCTACACCCACCCAGCGGTCATTAGGGCAGAGAACCGGTTGTTAAATTATTTGAATCCCACCCCTGGTTCTAATCTCACTTTAGGCATGAAAGCTGGCTGGGTGACTTTGGGCCAGTCACTCACTCTCAACCAACTAACCTCACAAGGTTATTGTTGTAGGAAAGATAGGAGGAAGGAGGAGTATTTGATATGTTTGCCTCTTGAGTTATTTATATAAATAATAAAGATGAAATATAAATTCATCTTATAATGCCTTGGTAAGGTTACACTTGGAATATTGCATTCAGTTTTGGTCGCCACGATGTAAAAAAGATATGGAGACTCTAGGAAGAGTGCAGAGAAGAACAACAAAGATGATTAGGGGACTGGGGGCTAAAACATATGAAGAACGGTTGCAGGAACTGGGTATGTCTAGTTTAATGAAAAGAAGGACTAGGGGAGACATGATAGCAGTGTTCCAATATCTCAGGGGTTGCCACAAAGAAGAGGGAGTCAAACTATTCTTCAAAGCACCTGAAGGTAGAACAAGAAGCAATGGGTGGAAACTAATCAAGGAGAGAAGCAACTTAGAACTAAGGAGAAATTTCCTGACAGTTAGAACAATTAATAAGTGGAACAACTTGCCTGCAGAAGTTGTGAATGCCCCAACACTGGAAATTTTTAAGAAGATGTTGGATAACCATTTGTCTGAAGTGGTGTAGGGTTTCCTGCCTGGGCAGGGGATTGGACTAGAAGACCTCCAAGATCCCTTCCAACTCTGTTATTCTATTTCTGTTTTCTAAATAAACAGATAGATTATGAGGTTAGAATCATAGGTCAGGGCCTAGCGCAGTGGTGGGTTGCTACCGGTTCGGACCGGTTCGTGCGAACCATTGGCAGAAATTTGGCTTGCCCCGGCCGCCATGTTCATTGCTGCCATGTTCTTCACCCATGCACATCCCATTGCAAGTCCAATGGGATGCACATGCACGAAGAACATGGCAACAGCAGCAGCTTTTTCTGCCGGTATGTTTTGGCGGCCTGCAGAGAAAGCAGCTGGCAAAGAAGCCTTTTCAGAGGCTTTTTTGCCAGCCGCTTTCCAGCAGCTGCGGCTGGCTGGGGGCTGCTGAAAACTACAGTCAGCTTGCCTTCCATACTGTGGACCAGCCGCAGAAGGTAAGCAGCATAAACAAGGAGGCGGTGGTGGGGGAGGAAGGCAGGCAAGTGGGCCTAGCCATGGGGACCGCTGAGAAGGCCACATGGAAGGCAGACAAGCATGCCGGGGCTGCCCAGCCGTGGGGAAGAGAGCTAGGAGCCTACTCCACCGTGGCCCTGCCATGCTTGCCTGCCTTCCATGCGGCCTTCCCGGCAGTCCACCATACCTTTGCCTTCTGAGGTCAGGTCACATCAAACCTGTGATGGAAGATGCAACGCTTTGGGCCTGGCCCGGTCAGCTGGTAGGCGGGTGGCCCTTTGGGGAGACGGAGCTGCTTCGCTGGGGCTGAGAGGGAAAACTGCCCAGGATTTCCGGGATGCCCCTCTGCTGCTGCTGTGCCTGCCACGGCAAAAACCACATGGGAAAACCTCCTGTGAGCTCTGGGACGCCCCTCCGCCGCCACTAATGCCTGCCGCAGCAAAAGCCGAGCAAGAAAACCTCCTGGGAGCTCCGGGACGCACTGCCACCGCCGCCACTGATGCCTGCCACGGGTAAAGCCGTTCAGGAAAACCCCACAGGAGCTCCGGGACTCCCCTCGGCCACCACCGCCACCACTGATGCCTGCTGTGGCAAAAGCCGCGCAGGAAAACCTCCTCCCCAATTGCCCAGCTGAACCCACCACCACCAAGCCACGCCCACAGAACCGGTAGTAACAAATTTTACATTTCACCACTGGTCAGGTTCAATGCTAGATGAGAACCTCACACACTAGTTTTCTATGTTTTAATCTGGAAAAGTTCTAGAAATGCTGGAGATGGCATTATCCACAGATTTTTTTACATGGCTTTAAAATATTGTCAAGATCTGAGTAATTTCACGGTATTGTCTGCTTTTGGAGTTGTCAAATTCTACCCTGTTTTATTGGAAACTAACAAAGCTCATTTCCCCTTGAGTTTCTGTAAACTTTCTGGGCAGGCAGCTGAAACTGTTGTCATTTTCTGGGGTATATATAGATGCAGTATCCTGTTCACATAACTTCTCCCTTCATAGATATAACTCATCTCCTTCTTTCTTTCACTCTTGAGAAAAATGCCTAATTATAAAACTATCAACATGCTATGATTTCCCAATTCACAAGAGCTTTTGAATGCAACAGAGGAATGTTAGCAAGGCAGTTGGGAAACCTTTCATTGCTTTTAAAACAAAAAAAAAGCAAAGCAAACAACTGGCTTGTTCTTGCAATAGCTTTTTATCATAGCAGCCTCTTAGAATATTAGGCAAATCACCAGATAATTGCACGTAGAATAGTGTGTGTATATTAATTCATTATGGTTTCTGGGGTTGAAGGAATGTTTGCTACTGATTTTCTCTTCTGGTATTGGTCACTTAGAGAGGACTGATTGGCTCATGGATGTCCCTGGTGAATTCAAGGTCAGAAGAAATGAAGACAAAGTTTGCTTTCCAGCTGCTTTGTGGGGGATTGGTGGGTGGAAATTCAGATTGTGTGGATGTGGCCTTTTAGTGTTTTGTAAAAGTGTTTTTTTGGGAAAGAATTATGCAACACTCCGTATTTACCGTGAAAGCAGCTTTACAAGGCTTGTGTTATGCTGGTTTTGAGACTTTTTCTCAACTGTACTGGAATAGTCATTTCTGAGTCTTTACCAAGATTGATCATAGATTTTAGAGTGGATTGGTGATTTACTTACAAAATCAAGTTTGTGCTGGATATTTACTAACTAGTAGCAACTGAAAGTATACTCATATCTCTGAAATAACACAGAGCTTTTTTGCTTAATTATTACATGGAATAACAAGAGAGTCAGCTTCCTATGAAAAATATACCTGAAAACACCCAGCATGACCACCCAGTCATATGACCAACCAGCCACGCCCACCCAGTCACATGACCAACCAGTCACATACGCCCAGTCACGTGACCACCAAGCCACGCCCACATCACATGACAACCAAGCCACATCCACAAAATAAGCCACGCCCACAGAACCGGTAGTAAAAAAATTAGAACCCACCCCTGGCCTAGTGCATATGCCTGGCATATCTAAAACCTCAAGATTTAGTATGTGGCATTTCTATTTTAAATATCCAGGGATCAGGACTAACAAAGACATTTGCTTGACATAATTCAAAGGTTCAATCAATTTTAGAAGATCTTGCTAATGAATTGTATCATAATACAGGAGATACAAGCATTCTTTGTGGTTCCAGAAAAATCTTTAAACTAAAACACTGGAACATTTTCTGAGTTTCCTCTTTCATTTGATTATTTATATTATTTTAGGCCCAGATTGAAAAATGTGGATCGAAGTAGTGCTCAACATTTGGAAGTTACTGTTGGTGATCTGACAGTCATTATTACAGACTTTAAAGAAAAAACCAAGTCATCACCTGCTTCAAGTGCAGCTTCTGCAGACCAGCACAGTCAGAGTGGTTCTAGTTCTGACAATACAGAGAAAGGAATGTCCAGGTCATCTTCACCTAGAGGAGAAGCCTCATCACTGAATGGAGAATCTCATTAAAGTTTATTTACTTCAGTTTATTTAGTCTTTCGTCTCAAAAAAAATTACATATATACAACTTCTGCCAACAGTTACCACATTTTCATGACGTATTATCACCGTGCATGATTATGTTTACTCAAATATGATTTATGCAGTTTTTTACAAGCAGTGCTGCAGTGCAATTAAATTGCACTGCAATCTACAAAACATTTTAGATCAACTTTTTAATCTTCATATACAATGGTGAGTGAAAATGTGGTTTGAATGTTCCTGCTGCAGTGTTACAAGACCTTTTCCTCTTTTACTTTAGTGAATTTTAACAGAATTCTTGGATTCTATGCTATTGGCATGTACTGAATGAATTAAAAAATAGTTCAAACTGCCTAAATATGTATTATTTGAGAATTGTGAATCATAGTTATATATGTATGCAAGTCAAAGATCAACTTAATCAACTATTGCTGCAAAAGATTGTTCATAATGATTATCTTTAAAACACCTGCTGGTACTTGGTGTGGTTGAATAGGAAAATGTTATTAAATATAACATTTGTATGAATTTTTGCCAATGTCCAACACATTTTACTGGATTATTGTAACTGAATAATGTTGCTAGCTTCTCCAATATTTTCCTCACACATTTAGAACATTTATTGTTAATGTTTACAAGCAAAAAAGTAAATACGTTACAAACATTAATTGTTTAGCTTTATAATTCAAATATAGTACTACCTTGTCCTTATACACTGGTATTCTCTGTTATAGAACATAAATTTATTCTGAAATTATTAGTCATTTTCTGTTTTTTTTAATTCTATATCTCAAAACTATTGCTGATAACTTTAAAATCCCAAACATGATGCCATCATAATTATTATTTTCTACTTACTTTCTCTGAAATTTGCTCAATGTTATAGTGATATATCTGTTCATCAGGAGGCTGGGATCCAAAGAGGCTTTTAAGTTTGTGTATGAGTTTAGTAGTTTATTTTGTTTTGTTTGTGTGTATTTTTAGCCATAGTTCTTTGCACCACACCAGAGAGCATTCCCAAAGATCTCCCAAGATTGGAAATGGGTAGTGCAGGGGACTGCAGTTGGAAGAGGTGAACTTTAAAAGCAATGGTGCCTGTGTATGTGTGTCCGTATGGTGTGAAAAGAACCTGTGCAGCCTTTAGGATTCAGGCTAATTATATTAAATGTTGCACCAGAGTAAATAAGTAAGCAAATGCTGTATGTATTACATTTGTTTCTGTATCAGCCTTTTGCATTTTTTTGAAATAACTTTTATTAAATAATATAGAGTAAATCATAGGTAAAATACAGTTCTTTGTTTTTGAAATAGTGGACATTTATGCATTTAGCAATATAGAGATACAGAACAAAAGGATTTACAGTCCCATTCAGTATTATGTAAATTTTCCAATAAAATATTTTTATGAGTATAGGTTTTGAAATTTTGTTTATAATCAGTTAAATCTTTCAATGTACAAATCATTGATTAACTCTTTCACCTGTACTGTAGAATTAGAAATATAGTGGGAGGGAGAAGATGATTTAGAACTTCTAAGAGTGTTTTTATATATGATTGTCCACTTAAATGGACATTTACTGATCAGAATGTAAACCCAATCTAAAATTATTTTAATTTAATAAGGCAATGAATTAACAATTCAGAACCTATACATAATTGACAGCACAAAAGTCTATGCATTTCTACTCAGAAATGCCTCATTGAGTTCATAGTTTATAGCACTACAGCAATCAGTGCAATCCTTGCATTTTTACTCAGCAGTGCAAACATGAGTGGGGAGGGAGGTTCATGGCATGTGCACAATGATGTCATCACAATAATATCTTAAGCTGCTTATTTGTGTCACATATCAGGTCACAAAGTACTTAATGGTAACTTTTGTATGATGACATCGTCAGCCATATTAGTTTGGTACCTTCATAATTTACTGCAAATGCAGCTGGGCTTGAGGTTGTTCCCCTAGGGCAGGGGTGTCAAACTCAATTTCATTGAGGGCTGGATCAGCATTGTGGCTGTCCTCCGGAGGGGAAGAAGGGGTGTGGCGGGGGTAGTCAAGGCCGACTGGGTGTGACCTGGAAGTGTGGCCAGCTTGATGTCGCTGTGTGTGTGGTGCCTGTGGGAACCAGGTGGGGTTGGGGAGGGAATCCAGGTGTCTCTGGCAGGTGGGGCGGTGGGCAGGAGACTCGTCCCACAGGATGAGGGGAGGGGAGGCGGGGCAGGGCAGCTACAGCCAGAAACAGTCAGCCACCACATGCTTGCCGCCCTTTGTATGCGGGGGAGATGGTTTCCGGCTATAGCTGCAGCCTGACGGCACCTCAGGTAGCCCATGCGGCTCCAGAGCCTGCTGCCACAAGCAGCAATTGGAGGCAAGGGGAGGAACGAGATGCAGACCGCTGGATGCGCTTACTCCATCTCAGTGTCTGTTTTGGCTTGTAGTTGGAGAGCAGGTTGCCACTGGTCACCTTCTCAGACCCGTCATGGGTCTTGCCCCTGGCCTGCGCATTGAGCGTGTTTCCCTCGCGCACCTGACTGCAACAACCCATAGTGGTGCTGAGGTGATCAGGTGCACAAGAGCGGTGCTTCGCTAGCAGGCCTGGCAGTAAATGGGGGAGGATGCGGCATTTCACTACCCACTACAAGACCCAAGGCGTGGCATCCGGCCAGGTTTCCCCAAAGCACGGCAGGTGTTGGGGTAGGAAGTGGCACCTGTCTCAAGGCTGGATGAAGAGGGCCTTTCTGTAGGAAGTGGGTCTTTGATCCCTGGTCACCGGTTTGGGCTTTGCCCTGCCAATTCACCCTGCTACCCCCGAATCACCCCGTCACTTACCGGTGCCCCGGAGGGTGAGGGATGCGGGGCCCAAAACTCCCAAATGCAGCTCCTTTCACTTTGGCCTCCCAGGCCTCCTGCAATGGCACTAGAAACAGCCACACCATGCCTTCTGGGAATGCCGGCTGAGTGGGGAATTTGCCTGCAACTCAGAACAGAGATGCGGCGCGGGGGTTGCAAGACAGAAAGCAGCCTTCCGCAGGGCCGCTTCAGTCCAGGGAAGGGACTGCACCCTCAGGGGCTCTGTGTGAAGGAGCTGCGTCGGCCAGACAGCACCCTGGAACTGCTACCTCGCGGGGCAGGGTAGGGCTCAGTTCTCCCCGCCGAGAAGACTCGGTGAAGGGGGCACATCATTTTGGGTCTCTACTCCTGACAGCTCCTGGATGGCAACTCTGCCACTACTTGGCAGACCCGCCCAGCCGGAAGGAGGTGAAGCGGCCAGCTAGAAAGGCCGAGTAGAGATGGTGGAGTATGCCCAAGCCCAACAGGCAAAAGACGGCCATTGCGAGTGGGGAAACCCAGATCCCCATCAGCACCATGGCCACCCAGACCCAGCAAAGATGGGGAGAGGCACACAATCCTGGCTGGGCCTAGGCGACCATGGTGCTAATGAGGATCCTGTTTTTCCCGCTCATAGTGGCCGTCTTTTGCCTGCTGGGCTTGGGCATGCTCCATCACTTCTACTCAGCCTTTCTAGCTGGCCGCTTCACCTCCTTCGGGCTGGGCAGATCTGCGCAGCAGTGGAGTTGCCACCCAGGAGTTGTCAGAGGTAGACCCTCCCCCCCAATGATGCGCCCCCTTCACCGAGGCTTCTTGGCGGGGAGAGCCAAGTACTGCCCTGCCCTGCCCTGCGAGGCAGCGGCCTAATGGACCTGTGCAAGCTGCTGGCAGCGGTGCAGAGGTATATCGGGTGCGTGAGGGAAACATGCACCACTTGCAGGCCAAGGACAAGACCCGTGAGGGGGCAGAGGAGATGACCAGTGATGACCTGCTCTCCAACCACAAGCAAAAACAGGACAGAGTAGGCAGGCCAATGGTGTCTGGCAGCCGCCACCCCACCCCGTTCCTCACTTTGTCTTGGTCTGTGGTGACAGCAGTATCTGGAGGCAAAGACGCAGAGAAGAGGCACAGGGTCCAGCCTGCTGGATGCACCAGGCTGTTCCAGCTATGTGGGATGTAGGCGCATCTGGTGGTCCACATCATGTGCCTTCCCTCCCCCTCCCTCTGCCTGCTGCTAGTAGTGCCATGCCTGTTTCTTGGAGGGCCAGTTGTGGAGCCCCCGCTCCCTGATAGCTCCGCCCATGTGCGCACACACAAACCTGAAATTCCAGACATGCTGTAGCAGGCATGGGGCTTATCTGCAACTTGGTGGCATCCATGCTGAGATGGAGGGGCTGGACCGAGGCGACGCTGGCCTGATGCCTCCTGTGCGCACAGGCCTGGCCCATGCCATCTGGGCAGGTGCGCGTGCTCTTGCTGTGCGCACAGGAGGCAGCAAGAGGATGCGCGACTTCCCAGATGGCATGGACTGGGCCTGTGCGCACATGCACATAACTGGATGGCATCAGCTAGGCCGAAGCAACGCAGACCAGCCCCTTAATTTCCAGAATGGCCGCAGGGGCCAGATCAGACCACATCGCAGCCCGGAAGAAGCCCGCAGGCCTTGTGTTTGACACCCCTGCCCTAGGGAATTTAGGCACGGAGCTGTTTGGAATTTACTTCCAAACAAACATGCATAGAGTTGCATTGCACAAAGTAAACAGTAGTAGTAGAAGCATTCTAATTCATTTCCCCAAATTATTCCCCAAATGTATTTTTCTGTTGCTTGGACCTGGTACCAATATTAGTGTTTTTGTACCCACAAACATTCTCATGAAAACATCCTTCAGACTCAGAGTGACTTAAAAATGAAGGTTCTCATAATGATGGATCTTAAAATAATAAGCTAGAAGAGAAAGTCTAGTCAATTTATATATTTGTGGTTTCTGTGTTAGATTAATCTTATGCACACTTACTTGGATATATCCCACTGAATTCAGTGAAATTTAACTCTGGGAAAATATACATAGGATCTGGCTGTTAATATTATTTGTTTTGGTAAAAAGTCCAGTTGTGTATTGTTGAAGGGAGCATTTCACATAATATTTAGGATTTAACTTTTTTTCACTTAAAATATTTATTTTGTGAACTATGAAAAATTACATAGGATATTTGGTAATAATTCTAACCAAAAAATATTAAATATGTATAGTGACAGCATTTCAGCTGAATTTTGTAGCCCTGCTAATTGTGATGTTTGCTGGTCTCTTGCAGTAATGTATTTTTCTGTTTTTAACTCCAGTACTTCTACAGGCACAATGGTACTGTCTATTTTGTACAATGTTAAATGTGAAATACAGTTAGTTGCATAAAATGAAAGTCTGATGTGATATGTAAAACTTGAATATGTCATTTCTTACTTTTGCTGTCTAATAAGTTAACATTAACTGTTTTCCTAAATGAATAAGAACTGAAAAGGCTGAAATTGGGATGTTTATTTTATTTTATTTATCTCATTTTTGAACCACCCATTTCCTCACAGACTATTTTTATGTTACAAAGTACTGCTTGGTCTTTTATTGGCTTCTAAACAGAGTTTATTTCTTTAAGTCATACTGGGGAACAATGCAATTAATTTCTCTGTAACCTTTAATATTTTTTTCAATTTTTAAAATAAATTTCTATAGGTAATTTCCCAATAAATAAACAACCTAAATCCACTTAGGGGGAAACTGAAATCTACAAGTGATATAACTACATAATTGGCATGTCTAGTTATTCATTTTGTCACAAGTATTTAGGAAGCTACTTTAGATACCCAATCAGTCCATATGATTCAGTCATCTTGACAGTGACTGCAGCAACTCTCTAGTGTTGCTAGCTCAGCTTGTGGATGGCAGGAACTGGATTCTTTGATGCAAAATATGTTTCAAAACTAAATTCTACATAGTTTCTTTACAAGAATCCCTCTTTAGAATATTTTCTTTTGTAATATCCATCTTTATAAATGGATATAAATACATTTTATTTATAAATATAACATATTACATTATATTAACATAGCAACATATTATTTAAGACATATGACATCTATATCAAATTAAGCTTGAAAGTGAATGTAAATATTTCTTAGGTGTGCCTTTTCATTAGAAGCAGTATACAATCCTAAAAAATTCCATTGGCTATTTCCAGTGAGTTATTACTATATAAAAACACTGGGTTGCTCTGTTTATTACAAAAATGTATACACTATCTGATTTATTACACTTCTGACTTGGGTAGAGAAAAATAAATTTCTCTAACATATCTCAAATATCGCTAAAACAATTAAAACCTTCTTATGCAAACACTATGTAGAATAGTACTGTTTTTGTTGTTCTAAAAGATGGGAGTGACTAATCTAACTTGGGGGAAGATGCGGTGTAATTGAAGCTGCCACAGCAAAGGCTATTTTCTGAGTGCCTGTACCATTGAATGAGCTATGATCCAATACTGTGCCATATAAAAGACTTTTGCTCTCCCTGTAACCTAAGATACACATGT